GCTCTAGCACATGTACCTGTAGCTGCAAGTAAATGGTAAGAGAAAGCCACAAAAGACAAAGCAAAATCAGAGTGATGACTCGTTTCACTGTTCCAAGTAGTTGTTTGTTATGCCCAATATATCCTAGGAAATTGCATTAACAAAAGGGAAGGAAATTTTGTTTCACTGTTCTGTTCCAGAACATTTTGCATCATGTACAAAGATATCAAAATATTGAGACATCGTTGAAAATAGGCAGACAATTGCAGAGAGCAGCTGTAGCTTGAAACTTCAACACGTTCAAAAACTTCAAGTTTACATATGCAGTTCAGAAGTTCTGCAGCTGATCTTGACACCCCAACATAGTACAAAATGTGAATGCAGTATTTCAGATATTTAAATTCTTTCTTAAAAAAATTAATAATGCTTTCCTCCACTGTTAAATCCCTCTCCTCATGTGCCCTATTCTTGGCTATTTTGCCTCGACTGCAGTAGCCTGTGCACAGGCTCAGTGCACAGTGTTCATTCCTGCACTGGAATGCACTGGAGCACTGGGTGCAGATGTTTCCCAGCTGTGATACCCCACGATTTTGAGTTCAAGCACCACATGGTGCACACTGGGATACAGCTCACATTGCTGCTCCATCCTTTCATCTCTCACTGCTGTCTCCAGGCTCACCCAGAGTGACTGTGCTGGAATCAGATTGGCAAAATAACAAATGCAGCTTAAACCCCAGGAAAAGGCAAATAATTTGAATAGTTATTTTAAGGTTGATAGGAATTATTTTCAGGTTAAATTTTCAGATTTCTCAATCTTTAAACTGAACTTTGCACAAACAACCCCAGATTTGGACCATCGGTCTTATAGCACAGCCCACAAGATCTAAAGAAACCTATTTCATAATCACCACAAGGGTGGCCATCATCCTTTCTCCTGAAACACAGAAGAAACACTAGGATATTACAATCTTCCTTAAAGCCTAGCATCACGTCCTCGTGAGCAAGCACAAATAATTTATAGACATAGATACAAAATTATCTTTGCAACTGAAAGATTTGGACTAAAAATATTTCAAATTACGTGACTAATTATGAGAACTGAAGAATAAGAGTAATTTCTATTTAATTCTAGCCTTTTTTTCCTCCTGAATTAAGTATTATCAGTTATAATGGTAACAATTAATTTTACATCAATATAAAGTACTGAAAGGGGAATTAGTAAATCAGGCAATCTCAGTGAAACATCCATCCATGGAAGCTCCTCTGTTCTCCTCCCTCACCCGTCCTCCCAGTGCCTGTGTGGGGTTCTCATCCCAGAGGATTCCTGCTGTGTGAGGAGCCACGGGAACCTCCCCTGCAAAGCCATTCCTTTCTCCCTGTGCCCTCAAAGCATTCCCAGCTTTAAAGCAGAGCTGCCTCTCCGGCTGTCAGGAAAGAACCAGACCCACCCCGGGATGTTCAAAGGCAGTATTTTCATCACACATCCCCTTGAAAAGCAATGATTAAAGCAGCAATAAAGGAACACCTCTCAACTGGAGAAGGCAGAAACCAGCACTTTGTTAGGAGGAGGAAGAGATGCTTTGAAACAGACTGCAAGAGGACAATAAAAGTTAAAGAGCATTAAACAGCAGCTCCGAGCCCAAAGGTAAAGCAGCTAAATACTGCAGAAATGAACCATAAAAATAGCACCATAAAAATGCTATAGCCATGCATTACTGTGTCCTTACTTAGAAATATTTCAACCCTTCCATTACAGAGCCTTATTTCAAAGAAAACAGAATGATTATGTAGCCGGCCTGGGAGCCTGTTGCAGCCATAAAGCAGCAGCAGACCAGGGAAGGCACAGCCTCTCTTTGCCTGGTCCAGGAACAAGCACACTAAAATCAAGCAACATCACTGGAACTGTTCCAGGTCAGGTTAGTCAGGGCTTTGAGCAGCTTGACCTAGTGGAAGGTGTCCTTGCCCATGATGATCCTTGGGCTCTTTCCAACCCAAACCATTCTATGACTCTAAATAAGTAGAATTAGGAACTCTGAAGAGGCTTGTTGCAAACCTATAACTCTACTAGAAGCAACGAGCTGCTGCAACACAGCCAAGCATAATTATGTAACAAACAAATACAGCACCACAAAGAATACACAAAGATTTGGCCACAGTTGCCTGAAAAGGCCACATGACAACATGTGCAAGCAGTAAAACTTCCTTTATATCGCAAAGAAAATAAACCAAATGTGATTAACAAGCCCCAATCAATACTGAAAAAAGAGATAGAGAAAGGATATATTTGGAAAATGTGATGTCTCCAAACAGTCTGAATTTAGCCTAAACTACCTAAGACAGCAAAGGAACAAAGGGAAGGTTAAAATATTCTTACCAGGAAAAAAAAAAAAGCAACATGCAGACGCGTGTTGTATTATTCAATGATTTCAGCACTTGGTACTGTTAGATAAAGAGACATCTGGAATCTAAATCGTGATCTGAGTTTTGTAGTGCTGACACAAAGCATTCCCTTCAGACAGCTCAGGTGCCACTTTTTGTTTCATAATCAGTAACGTGACCACTTGCACATCACTTTCAGTTGAGAGCAGAATCTACTGAAGGTAACTGAAAGATGAAAACTAAAAGTTATGAAACCTTCTCTTGATAAAGCAGGTGCTGTCAGTGCTGGCTTTGCCTTCTGAGCGCTCCTCTACTGAGATGAATAAACAGATAACAAGATAAAAAAATTAGAATAGTGCACTGTGAAGAGGCAGCATGAGAGGGGTCAACGTTTTGCAACAAGCTAAAGCTTTAAAGTAAAGGCTGAAGTAAAAAGTTACCAAAACGATGCCCTTTTATTTATTTTTTTTTTCGTGGTTATTGGTATGAATGTAGATTAAATACCAGTTTTAAAGTGAAAGAGTTACAGGTTAATTCTGAAAGTCTCAATGATTTCACAAGCATCAATTTCAGTCATCTTCTGAGTTAATATTCTTGTGATGAAACTTGTCATCAAGCCCTGTCAGGTGTGTAATTTCAGAAAAGAACTAAAATCGATCCTGAAGCAGGTCTGGAATAGTCTTGGAACACAGCAATTCTGCCACGACATTTTCTAATAGCTTAATGCTTGCCTGTGATAAACCTGTCTTCCAAAAAGCTCCAATTAACTGTCGGGCATCCTGCAACCTCCAAAAATAACAGTATTCACAAAGTAACCTTTTGTCATCAACATGTACATATACACTCCCAGAGGTTGCAGGATATTAAAAAGAGAGAAGAGCCAAAGTCAGGAGGGGCATTCACAGTCACTTCTGGCTGGGAACAGGAACAAAATCAGACAGTTACCAAAACTCAGCCAGACAAATGCCCACTGCTATGGCTCAGGGATGCCAGCATTATGGCAAAGAATCCTTTTGTAACTATCCTAAGGAATTCCCTCCAGGTAAAGTGATTGGTAAATTGGGACAATCTTGAGCCTTCAGAAATGACACATTTCAGGTATTGTTGTATCCAAGAACAATTCCATATAGGAAGAGGCAGACCAGGCACAGCAGGTGGCCACTCTACACCAGAATTAAAAGTAGGTACTATTCCTAGGCAATGAACCACACAGCAAGAACAAGTCTGGCAGTCTAGACTGAACAGGACCAATATTTCAATCTTGTAATTCTTAGCAATAAATAAAAAATTCAAGATGTCCAAATTAACTTCTATAAAATAGCAGAAGTTCGCATAGAAGCAGCAGCTCAGAGTTGAGCTTTTTTTTTTTTTCCTCCAAAGTTAGCTCCAAACCTTCTGTAAGCAAGAATCCCTTTCCTTTTTGGACCATCTTGGCTTTGGTTTTGAATAACCTGAATCTGCTTTCCACTTCTGCATGGCACCCATGTTCCCATTTTAGCAGAGCAGGACAAAGTGAGGGCAGCCCCGTGTGCACATCCCAGCCCAGCCCAGCCTGGCACTGACTCCCTGCCCTTCCCAGGTTCATTAACTCCCCATGGACCTGTAACCCACCACTGATTAACCCCTGAGTGACAGCAGCTCCAACCCAGCCACACAACTCCTCCCAGACGAGCAGTCTTCAATCAAATGTTGGGGGGGCTGGGCTGAGGCTGCATGGGGCTGTAACTCCCCCAAATGTGGGGTGCAGTCCAGCAGAGCTGCATCAAAGCCCTGGGAAGCTGCAAATCAAACATAACATCCCAGAAGCCGTGGCAACCAAGCAGCTGAAACCCTGGCACCAGCCAGTGCTCCTCCACCTGCTCGCTGTGTTTATCACTCTCTGGGCAAGCAACACCACCCTGCTATTCCAAGCACTTTATTCAGCACCACAATGGCTAATTTTAAATTCTGAGAGATCAGCTCTGCCAACTCTGCTATTTAAAGTGCAAGTTAAATATGTTTGACATTCCATACCCCAAATGACAACAAACCAGAATATTTAGACCAGCAGCATATCAGGCATTTATTTATTTATTTCTCTGTCAGGCCTAAGTGTGCACCTTTTCATTTATATGCTGCTGTTTGCCCCACAGGCATCAAGCTGTTAACATGTACAGAAGAGATTAAAATGAACTTGCATGCCGGATGAGGTATAAATTAAAATTATAGTACTGTCAGTCATGAATCTCGGATTGTTTCTCAAAGTCTCCCAAAATGCATAATGTCAAGTGAGCCTCTGTTTGTTGCTTCAGGAAAGGCAAAATGTATAATTTTTCAGCAGCACAGTCAATATGAATTCTAAGTAAGTTGTCCCTGAGCCTGTGATATAAATATGCTGTACTAATCGCATGAGTTGTGTATGCAAGGAAGGTCCAAGTGAATAAAAGGCTTTAAAGTGGGATGTGAGCAGCATTATTCACTGTGTACTTTCCAGTGCAAAGCAGATCGGGGCTGCTGCCTGTTCGAGTGCCTCACGATCCCCATGCAGTGTCAGAAAAACCACCCCGACACAGAGAACACCAAAGCCCATCTCCCAGCCAAGCAAGGGCTTTCTCTGGAGCAGCATCAGTGGCATCCCCGGGGTGTCCATGCCCTGCACCCACCTGGTCTCGAGCGGGACGTTGCTGTTGAGCACCCAGCTGTCCTGCAGCTGCACCGACTCGGGGGTCGTGGCCAGGTCGTTGGGTGCCGGGGCGGGCGCGTGGATCTGGTTCCGCCGATTGGTGAGAGAGTTCCTGTTGAGGGAGTTGGCAGAGGAATGGTGATGGGACAGGGAATGGTTGTGAGGAGGAGGGAGAGGTGGCCTCAGCGTTGACTGGCTGTGATGATTTGAAGGGCCTAAAACAGAAAAGAAAAACAAATCACAAATGTGTGTGGTCACACTGCTCTCCTCGGCATTTTCAAGGGGCCACTGCCTGGGAAAAGAGACTGTGCCTCTTGGACCTGTGGGCATCAAAGTGTGGGCAAATCAGATCAGTGATTATTTGAGATCAGCAACACAAAACAGGGCATCCTGCACCGCTGGCATGTTGACAAAGACTGTATTTAAATTTTAAAATACTTCTCTACGGATTCTTCCTGGAGAAAGTCTCCTCAGTGAAGCAGCCAGGACAGCAGCCTAGCTTGACCATTCCCACCATCTAGCAAGAGAAAATTTACCCTCCCTGTTTCTATCAGGGACTTTGAGCAGAGGAATCTCAATGGATTAAAAATAGCTTTTGAGAATATGGTCTTTAGGCCCCTATAAAACATAATCAGAGAAATCAAATCTTCTTTCATTCACTGTATTTTACCAATCAGCTTCACATGAACAGGATTCGTGCCAGCACAAGAAGATTAAACTCCAAATACGAAAAGAGAGCAACAAGGCAGTGATGGTATCTTTCATGTTATTCCATGTGATCAGGATTTCGCCTGTATTTGTCTGTTTAGTAATGCCACAAACACACAGCAAGATCTGGAAATTATGCAACTCTTTCAGTCTCTTTCATTGAAAAATGACAGATGATATTTTTTAGTGATAAAGAAGGATATAAACTTTTTTCATTCTTTGAGTACCAACGTGTTTACATCGATAACGAAAAATATTTTTTCTAATCATTGAGGCAAATGTATTAAAATAACATCACATAAAAGAAAATCTGATAAGCAGGTGTCATTCTAACATTGTCACTTTTCCAAACATAAATGCAGACTGGTAAATAAGTTCATATGCAATTCCACATATTGCAATAATATATGTCTAATAAAAACAGCAAAAGAGAATAAAGAAAACAAACACTATTATGAACTGTATGCTTTAGACATCGTATCAAATTGTTTGCTAGTGAACATTAATCAGTAATACTAGAGAAATGAGAATTCTAATGATGCATGTTTGTTTTTAGAAATTGAAGCAAATTCTGTATTTAATAAATCAAATATTAAAAAGAAAACATCACAAAACATCACAAAACATCATTTGCAGCAAGACTGATCTTTGTCATATGAAACAAAGAAGTCTAGAAAAGCTGCTGAACTGAGTAATTACTGTAAGTCAATTAAGGCAAATATTTATAAAAAACCCAAAATAAGCAAAAACTATCAAGGCACAAAGTAACACCCCAAACCCAGGAACCCTGAGCTGCAGCAGCCCTGAGGGACACGGTTAGTGGTGACCTGCTGGGCTGGGTGAAGGCTCAGACTCGAGGATCTCAGAAAGCTTTTCCAGCCTGACTCCGGGGTTCTACACAGCACCCTGGGGCAGCTGTCCCCTGGCACTGCTCTGCAGACTGCCTGGCCCAGGGACAAGCAGTCACAGTGCCTCTCCCTGGCAGCAGCACAGCCATGGAACACAGAGGGAACAGGGGATGTTGATTTTCTTCAGCGTTTCTGAGGGCTTGGGAGGCACAGACTCAGGTTTACTGGGACTTACACAAGGCAAGTACAACTTCTCCTCTGACAAGAAACTTTAAGAAATGAATGATAATAAATTCTGCATCCTCCACATGTTGCCTTAAATCCACCCAGCAGTTTCTTTATCTTTTTTGAATGCCTGCTGCCCGAATGCACACCCTGTGGGAATCTCCACTGCTCTAAATGCAGTCACCTTCCATGAACACATCCTACATTCTAAGGCCATCATATGTGCAGCTCTCCTCACTATCCTTGGCTAGGTCTTATCTAAGCATAAAAGAGACTGCTTATTCAATAAAGTTTGATGTTTAAAACCCCCATTTGGACCTCCAAGAACATCAAATCTCTAATCTATACTAGATCCTGTGCCATTTCACAACAGCATGCAGTGCAAGACACAGCAGGAAGAAAATGTGTTTGGACAATATCCACGTGCACAGAAGCTTAAGTGAAATTACTCTCCTAGTCTGTGTTCTGACTTTAAACAAAGCACGCTTGGATTTCAAAAAGTGAATATTTATGAGTGATAAAATACAAATATGTGCCCTTGTGTTAATAGCGACTTCAAAAGATTCACGTGCTTCATGTTTTCTCAACTTACTTTAGATAGAGCTTTTCCTTCTCAAAGATAAGTATGAAAAAATCATACCCAAATAAACAAAAAAGCTTTGCTCTGAGAGCCACAGTAGCACCGGTTAAATAAAGACTCTGAATCTTGTCACCACAATATCTTGGAGGCTGTTCTTAAAAGTGAGCCAAATATACATCAATAAAAATGAACAGCATTTCTGTAAGATTGAGGAAGCAAGAGCTGAAATCAAATTACCACAAATTATTTACTCTGCCTCAAGATTCAGTTCCCACACAGTAAATGTAACACACTTGACAAAATGAGCTGTGCAGAGGTAACTGAACACACACTGCAGCTGCAAAAACTCTGAAATCTGTCACAAAACAAATGTAGCATTTAATATAGAAAAATAAACAAATACCAATATTAACATCATATAGCTAGCTTCTATTAAAATGTATAAAAGCTTATATTTATAAAAAGTACTAACTAGGGAGCGTGCACACACTTGTGTATATATGAGAGAAATAAAAGCTTAATACACTGCTTCTTCACAAACCTGTTCAAATGAATCAAAAGCAGGAGCTGAGCACTGTTCAACTTGCCAGGGATATAAAATTGGATTTGCATCTGAACATCTGAGCACTTCTTTATGAGCATCTTTGCCTGAATTACAACTTCACCAGCAGTACCTGCAGATCTGCTGAGCTCTGAAGCTCAGAGTGAATCACTTGTCCCGTAATAAAGGATCCGAAGGGATTGGCCCCATGGATCCCACGGCACGCTCTGGCCCCTGGAAATGGTCTTTGATTTGGAAGCTTAAACACAACGAGTGTCTTGATGGAGTACATCTGGCTTTTTACATCAGCAAATAGATTTTATTTTTGATTCAGTAGTAAGTCAGTGTTGGTCTGGAGAATACTGAGGAAGTTACGCCTTTTTTCAATTATTAGCTGAATTAGTCATTTCACCAGGATAACTCAATAAACTCAAACATTTAGGATTTAAGGAAAGTCTTTCAAAACCAAAGTGAAAATCAGAGACCTGGAAATCTGAAATACTGGTACTCTCCACATTTAGGCTTTTTAATATTTTTTAGTTTCTTATTTAAATTCACAAAAAGACAACATATCTAATTCCAATCAATTTTAGTACACATTGATTGTGCTGAGCATTTTCAAAAAATCATGGCCTGGTGTCCACATAATCAACATGTGATTCTTCAAGAGATCTTACTTTAGTCAAGAATATCAGCAGCACTCGTTTCAAATTAGAAGCTGAATAAGGGTAAACTGTGTTGTAATTAAGTAATCTGAGAATACAAAACCTGATCTGTGTAGCTTTGAAGCAATCATATGCTATCCAATTTACTTATCTGGGTTTAATCAGAACCAAAATACTAAAAAAGAAATATTTTGCTCAGTTCATTCTTTTATCTGGTGAAACATTTAAACAAGCCAGGCTAGCACAGAGCACATCCTTCAGGAGCCTGTGCATTCTGGCAGTGCTGCTGTGGCACAGCCTGGCAGGGTCAGAGACAGCCCCTGCATCTCCCAGGGCTGCAGGTACCTCAGCAATGGCCGAGTGCTCCTGAGCACACACACTTCCAAACATCACTGCTCGGTGCTTCTACAATTCAAATGGTGACTAAAACACAAAAGAAAATTCACATCTGCTTCGACATGGGCAAATTGTTTTTCATAGTTCTTCCTAGGCTTTGGTACACTCACTTAACTCATCCACTAAATCCAAGCAACACAATGATCCGAGGAGAACAAGTTGATCTCCCACTGCAGAGATGAAATACAAAGCAGAAAAAGCAGCATCCCTAATCTGAGTAAAGCAATTGCTTCCCTGCATCCCAGTTCTTTGTCAATACTACCACAAAAAAGTAATGGAGATTGTATCTTAGTTGTGTTGAATTATCCTCCGTGACATTATTAAATGCTAAAGAGACCTTTACACCTCCTCATAATTCCTTTTCACAAAAGAACTAAAAGAAAAAACCCAAACATGTATTATTTTTCTGAAATGAACAATGACACAACTATTTCCTTATGCTTTAAACAATGCAAATACTGAACAAAAAAAAAACCCCAAAACTGAAGCTGATGAATTGAAAGAAAATAATTACAAAGCCTACAGACAACCCTTGTCAGACAGCATTAGAAACCTCATCTGCAGCACTCCTGGTTCTTTATTCAAATCCCTCTGCCACACTGTTTTCTCAAGGAAACCACATCATCTGCCATCACAATGAGTAACGGGTGTTTCACAGAACCACAGGGCCACCTTCCAAGCTAAATTCATCTTCCAAGGCAGCTCTCATTACTCTGAGTCAGGGAGCACAGAAAGCAGTGGAATGCCCAGGAATGTGACAGTGTCACAGGAGCTGCTGTGTCCAGCCCCAGCCTTCAGTGAGCTTGGCAGGGTAGGACCAGGGCTCCTGCCCAGCAACACAGACTGGGCTTTATGCTGTCTCTGCTTCAGTTCTCCTCTTTGTTTGCTTTATTCTCTGCGTTATTTTGTGCAAGGCCACAGCTAAATGGCATCTCAATGTTCTGAAAATGTTTTCAACACATGCTGTAAAGAAAAAAGTTATCTCACTCCTAAAGCACGGATACCATTACCTCTCTGTCTTGCTGCTTTAAACCCAAGACATTTGCCAGGTGTTCCTTCTTTTGTCTGCCTGTTTTTACACTCTTTGAGGCAAGAATAGGTTGAATGACTGGCTGTCATCCCAGACTGTACATTTCAAACTGAAAATTCAGTAAATATGTGATATGAAACAGTAAGTCACTTATCAGTGTCTGCCAGTGCATTGCAGCCATGTCCCCTGCACGATATTACAGTAGAAAATTAAATGTTGCTC